GCGAATTCATATTGCCAAGTAGCAAGTGGTAGATCGAGTTCAAAGCAAGATGCCTCACAAATGAGCGGTCATGGCGAGACCAACTCCGAAGAGGACGAGGATGTAGTTGGTGCATTCTCACATCGGTACAATACACTATCGCACCAAGTTACTAAAAGGGAAGATGGTCCCACGAAAGAGCCAAAGATAGAAGAATCAACGGTTTTACTACCGGTACATCAAGGTTTACATCGGCGTATACATCACACTCACATGGGGGTAGGACCCGCTTCAATAAAAAAAATATTTTATACAAGTGGGTCCCATCCCCATGTGAGTGTGATGTACACCTTGAAGTACAATTCTTGATGTACAAGTAGCATTTTTGAAGAATCAAAGGCTCGCAATTGTAGTGAGAAAGGCCTAATATACATTGATGTGAAGATCAATGGGAAGTTAATCAGGGCTATGATAGATACCGGTGTTACCCACAATTACCTCACAAGTGCCGAAGTAGAGCGGCTCGGACTTGCTGTGGAGAGAGGTAAAGGGAAAGTTAAAGCAGTCAACTTCGCTGCTTAACCAATAGCAGGAGTAACGAAATCTGTATCGATCAAAGCAAGTCCCTTCGAAGGAAGGACGAACTTGTTGGCAGTTCAGATGGATGATTTCAAACTCATTCTGGGATTGAAATTTCTTCAGGATACAAGAGCAGCAGTATTGCCGCATTTTGACTCATTAATAATGATGGATAGTAAATCATGCATTATTCCCACACAAGTTGGGAAAATAGACGACAAGGGTATCTCGTCCATGCAATAAAGTAAGGGTTTCAAGGTGAATAAACCCTTGTTTTTGTGCATTCTTCGATTAGAGGAGATCAAAGAGGGGACTGGTCCAATTCCAAAACTTGTCAGAAGGCTTGTTAAGTAATTTGAGGACATCATGCCGAATCAGTTACCAAAGAAATTGCCACCAATTAGGGCAATTAATTGTGAGATTGAACTTGTTTTGGGTGCCAAACCTCCCACCAAGGCACCATACAATATGTCTCAGCTGAAGTTTGAAGAGCTTCGCAAACGATTGGGAGAAATGTTCGGAAGTGGGACTATCATGGATCGCACTTCTGCACTACAACAACGTGTCAACTACTAGCCTCAAGGGCGGGATAACAATACAAGTTATGTGAAAACTTGTCTTGGTTATCAGCAAGATATGATGGATCATCAGAAAAAAATAGGTTTACTGGAGCCCCTTTCGGTCCCAAACAGACCCTTCGAAAGCGTATCGATGGACTACATTGGTGGATTGCCAAAAGTTGGAAATTTTGACGCTATCATCGTCGTGATAGACGACTTATCTAAAACGACAATATTTCACCACAGCGCCCAAGTATGTATCACCTGAAGAGACAGCTCAACTCTTCTTCAAACATATTGTTAAATACTGGGGACTGCCTAAGAATATCGTCAGTGATCGGGACTCTCGGTTCACCGGCATACTTTGGACGAATTGTTCAAACTTTTTGGTTCA